ATTCGGTCCAATAGAAAAATTTTTACAAGCGATCAAAAAACGCCCATTTTTTCCAACGAATTTCAAAAATTTGGCCAATTTTAAATTGTTGGGACTTTTTAAACTCTCTGATTGATGTTCTACTATCTTTAGGGAGGGGGGGGGGTAGTGGATTTTATCGTTCCTTTAGGAGCCACAACGCATTAAAAAAAGGTTAACTCGGTTCTTTTGAAAAATTGAGTGTTTTTGGATCGCTTGTAAAAATTTTTCTATTGGATCGATTTTGTTTGTTTTTTTGATCGACGCTGTTTTCTTAAATTTACTAATAAAGAAGTGTTATTCATAAAATATGGACCGTTTTCGAGAAAAATTGAAAAAAGTCCGAACGTTTTGAGGTTTTTTAGCTGCCAAGAGTTGTGCCGGGAAAAAATTGGTGTGCATTCTTCAAATACATGTTATTGGACCATTTAAAACGTTAAAATCGTTTACACCACATTTTGCAGGAATCGGTCCTTCTGACTGCTCCGCATACTGGATTATCTGAGGAAACTGATAATTTTAGATGAGACATATACACAAACGTGTAATTTAGTCATATTTGATTTGATCTAACTACGCTTCTGGTAGTTTGAAAGCATTATTATAAAACAGAGTTCATATTCAGCACTACTTATGATATAATATGTGAAGTACCTAGTAGGTTTTTTTTTATTTCTTGAAGCATCCTGATGGGATGCAAAAGGTTTTAGAAATAAAAAATTATTTTTTTTATACCTGAATCACAATCTCCGTTTTAAACACTCAAATGCGTGCGAAAAAGGGCCTTTAAAACACACGTGCTTTAAAGTTGCTAAGTAACGATACTTCAAGTATGACTTTTGAAACTGTCATCTGGATGAAATAAAAAATCCTCTTAGGTCGCTTTCTGTAAGTGCAGAACAGTTCTTTGGCTTTTGTACCTATCCTTTGGTTGAAGCTTTCACAAACGCGCGTAATTTAGGGTTTTCTTCCAAATCTGTTCCACTTTTTAATCGCAGCATTGCTTTAAAGTTTTGAATGAATGCACCAAAATATAGAAGATTTAAATACCTTTGACATTTCCTTCATATATGCCAGCATTATGGATGCATTTAAGACTTTATTCGTAAGACGTAACTTCCTATTCCATCCATGGAAAAAACTTTTCATATTCTTTATAATTGGCTTTACTGGATTTGGATTTTACACCTACCAGATGTTTAGATTTTACAACAATCGATTTAATTGACGGTGTATTATCTTTTTCAACGGAAATCGTTTAATTCACAAAGACGATGATTTTTATAAGCAAACGTCAAGTGACATTTCCATGGCAATCGTGAAATTACGAACACCCAGCCCACTTAATTAGACATGTATTCGAGTATAACGTCAATATAGTATTTCCTATTTTTAAATTATACTGCAGGTATAATAAAAAATACTATAAGATACACGTGTATAATTGGTCTTTAAAGCACTTGCAACGTTAAAGGCACTCCGCTTTGCGTCGTGCCCTTAAGGCGCCTCTGAAGTAAATTTGTTGTGCTAAACGGAGTGTGTAAAGTTGTCTAACCTCTTCAAAAGAGCATGTTACAAGTAGAAAGAGATGATTGAATTTGTCCCATTCTATTTGGTGTCTCTTTATTTATAACCTTTCAATGGATTTAATTATAAATGCAAGGAGCCTAATAACACTTGCCTAATGAGCTTTTCTATTGATATTAATAAATTCATCTTGTTTATTTATTGCATGGTAATTAAAATACTATTAGTTTACGTATTTTCCTGTTTAGTGTTTATTCAAAGGATTTTGCGTTTTTCAAGTATGGATATTTTTCTCTAAAGCAATATTTTGCATATGGTGCACTATTATTACCGGCGATTGTAAATTAGGCCGATGGTTAGGTACCTCATTATTATAAAGTATATGAAAATGTCGAGGAAAATGTGGTCGGTGTCCAATTTAGATTGAGACACCATAAACCGAATCAATCTAGTTACGTTTGTTGATATACAGGAGGAAAGCGAAACGTTTTAGGTTTTGTGATGTTATCATAGGTATCTTGCTACCCATGCAAAATAGAAGAAAGGTAATAACTGTCAGTTTTAGATATTTTTACGTAGAATCTAGTGGACTAGTAAAAAAAGCTTTGGACCACTCTGAGATTTGATCCGAAGTTGGTGTTTTTTAAACACCGTATGTTTCATAAAATCAGTTGTTTGCTTTCTTTGTCCTAATTACACTGATGTATCACAACCTATATAAATTTTTCAATTTTACCCATGAAAATGAATAAAAACGTAAGTTTTTACTGTTTGAAATACAAATAGCAGATTAAATAGAGATTATGGTTTTTTTTATTATATCCATGGTAACTAAGGCAAACTATACCAGTCAATAATGCTGATACATAATTGTAATCAGGATAAAGAATGAAAAAAAAAATATGGCAAAGCAAATGTGAGATGTGGAAGTTGGAACGGAGAAAGCGTATAGCTGCTTCCACATTTGGAAAAATATGCAAGATGAAAAAAAGTACTTCGACAGCGAAAACGGTTACGGCACTTCTTTACAGCACATTTATGGGAACACATGCCACAGAATTTGGACTAATCCATGAGGTCAATGCTATCGCATTATTTGAGCAGCAGTATGGAAAACGTGTTCAAAGAAGTGGTCTAAGCATTGATAAAGATATTCCATTTCTTGCCTGTTCACCGGATGGGTTGGTGGAGGATGATGGTGTCGTTTAGGTGAAGAGCTCCGAAAAGAGCGGGGACCTGTCACCGATAGAAGCCTTCCAATGCGGAAAAATCGACTTTTTCCATAAACCAGGTGACACATGGTGTTTGAAAAAAACCCATAGCTATTACTATCAAGTACAAGGGCAACTGCGCATAACAAATAGAAATATTTGTTACTTCGTATACACCAGAGGCGGCATACATGTGGAACAAATCGAAAGGTAATAATTCGCATTTTTTCTGTGAAAAGTAGAGGACAAGACCTGAGAACAATTTACATGAGTTGAGGGGGAGGTGCAACACTATGCATTAATTATTTAATAAAGTATTTTTTCTTATTGTAAATATTTGTATATTGTATATAAAAGTATAACATTTCTTTGTCTATTGTTTAAAATCATCTTTTCCTGATACTTATGAGTCCCTTCACTGTTGTTGTGAGACGTATCCCTGCATGTTTTATATTCAATAAAGATTTATCCCAATAAATTCGTTGCTGGGTATTTATTATGATCATTATTGACCAAATTACCTATTTGTTATTTACGTGCCTAAAATGAATTTAATTTTCATAGAAAGTCTAAAAAGTGTTAAAGCGGAACCGCTATTGATAAAAGGAACTGCGAAAGTGATTAAATCACCCAAATCTTTTTTCAAAGTTGGACCTTTTATAAAAGATGAAAAAATAGCTATCCGTACGAATAGTGGACTTTGTTAGCAGATTATACTGCGTTCCATTCGGTCAAAATTACGTTTCGGTCATTTTGCCGTACATATGTGCCTTGCGAACGAAGGGTCAGTAGGATTAAAAAACAGCGGAAAAAATAAAAAGTTATAGATACCCGCAATGAAAGTATAAGCCACAAGAAACTCGACAAGATGGTAAAAAGGTGTATATTTAAAGGAATTTCCCCTTTATTTGTGTCATAATGCAACAGTCAATTTCGCCGGAAAAATGAGGTGCAATCTAAGCTGCCTAACTTCGATTTAAATCACTGAAAAATTCGTGACATCACACAAATCTTTTTACCAATTTGGCGCTTTTCTATAAAAGATGAAAAAAATTGCTATCCGTAGGATTAAAGTGCTTTATTAGCAGATTATAAATCGCCAAAAACCATGTTCATCGCGAAAATAGAACTCCAGTTATCCTTTAAATTCGTTTTATCAACGACTCTAATTATTTCAAAAAATATGATAAATATCGAAAATAAAAATCCGTAGGATTAATGTGTACTATATTTCCTACAATATCCAACATCGACCTAATTTCCAAAGCAACTGTAAAACCGTATCCTTTATAAACTATTTTGTCCTTTTATAGGTCATTTCAGATTCAGTTCATAGGCGCCTTAATCTCGTTGCGCGTGCTTTAAAGACTTGATTATACACTTGTATCTTAATATACTATTATTTCCAATGTACCTATAATAGGATATCCATTTTTCGTCTTGGGAATATGTGACATTATGATTTACAAATCAACAGCATTGAAATAAATAAATAATAAATAGTAATTTATCTGATCCATATCATTAGGAACGGCGTAACAATGTGTAGGGTAATGCCAGGTAGTTTCTTTTGTTTTCCCTTTCAAATAATGACTTGTCGCCTCAGGCGTTATAAGTGCAATTTGGGTTGCCTATCCTTACGTTAGCGTTTTGATTTTTTTCTGAAGATCGCGAAACATATTTTTTAAAATATATGCCTTATCATAATAGATGGAAATAATATCTTTAAGTACCGCCGTAAGAAATACTGTCGGATTTCCAAATTGGTGCTGTAGGTTTTCCTACTCCCATTACAACGGCTGTTATTTACGAAAAACGATTTTTCTATTCATCGATCTTCCTAAAAAACTAAGACCGATATTTCAACTTTTTTTAAGTACCGCCGTTCTTTTCATCATTGCAAAGAATATCCACTACTGAGAATTTGTTAAGACTTCAACTACAAAAGCAGTATTTCATAAGAAAGTTTAGCTATTTTTCCAATATGGCAGATTGACTACAGAGGAGCCTTAATATAAAAGTTCCAGCAATAACACTTTAAAGTCAGTTATGTCAAAATGAACCTTTGGCTACATAACTCCTTCATCCACTCACCCCTTCAATTATAAGCTATCCATTCAGAATTTTATTTTTTAGTATCTGAACTCCATTTTTACTCGTTATAAATATGGAGAACCATTCTGGATCTGACCTCAAAAAACTCCATTCTGTATCTAATTATGTATTAGTAAACTCATACACGTCTAAAATAAATCAATTATCATATTATAAAAAAACTTGATGTTTAAAATAAAGACATTATAAATAGATGGAAAAAAATTCGTCTTAACGACGATCTCTTGAATCTGAACGGCTTCTTCGGCTGCGACTACGAGAACGAGATCTTGGAGAACGGGACCGCCTTGGAGAACGAGACCTATAATACACATAATCAAGTTACATTAATTTTGTACACCTTTAACTTTCTTTTCAAGTTTTATGGATAACAGAACAAAAGCTATATCTTCCCCTTGAGAATATCCACTCCCATGTCTATAATTTGTAAACTCGCAATGTCCAACATTTTACTAAGGATATCGTATATTTTAACTACTATGAACAAGGGGAGAATTTCTCAAGTAATATCCTACCTCCCACATAGACTGCATAGCAAATCCTAATGTACCACCTGCTTTGCTTGTGAATAATGACAATTTCCTATATCAGTTACCATAATTTTTTTAATTTAAAACTGTAACCTAAACACAGCATCTAATTAATAATGTTTAGTGGCCCTTTTCCTGAACTCTCACCAAAAAGGTTAATTTTGGGCCAACATTTTACAGGCAGCTTGACTGTTACCGGTTGGTAAAAAACATACTTGTTAAATTTTTAAGTGAAAAGTTCAAATAGTATACACACAAGGTTTTAATTCAATTCCAATTTGATTACTTTACCTTAGCATTAATTAGAAAGTATTCAGGTTTTAAGAGAGCTAATTGGGCCATTAAATTAATCACTGTGATTAGGATACTAATAGAAAGTCGGAAGATTGTCATTTGTAACATGCAAACCTTAAGCAATTTATGTATTTCATTGAATAAATTAATGAGATAAACCTTTGGCAATTCTTTAAACGTGTATCTTATATAATCAGCCTACTTTTGAAAAGTTGTTAAATGAGCTTTTAGCGTAGAAAGTTTTGACTCCACGAACATTAAAATAATATACTTTTTTTAAGAAGACGATGTGGGTTGATTGATGGTTGAAAATGCTGCTGGTGTAGAAGGCTCATTTAAAAAAAGTTGAGAAAGGCAGCTGTCGAGTTGAGTCAAAATGGACGGTCGCGCACCACTGATGGTGGATGTAGTAGCTGTAGTAGTTTGGTGTATCGTTGTAAGATGAGATGTTTATACCAAGGAAAGGTTGGGCTCAGTCAGGAGGAGAAGTAAACAACAGCAGTAGCGCTGCCCTGCAATGTGCGCCAAAACAGTTTAACTGCTGCCGTCTTTAGTACCACTGCTAACTCATAATTCAACGTAGATCACTCGTAATTATGAATTAGCAAATCGAGGTATATTGTATTGCTAAAATTTACATCAAAAATGCTAAAGAGAAAATCATAGAAAACCTTACCTCGAGTATCTTGGTGGAGGTCTGCGTCCACCTCCCCTGCGAGACCTGCCATTTGACATTTCCACACGGATTCGGGTCCCACAGCAACGTCTAAACAGAGGCCCATTAAAATCAGAAGAACACAACTTAAAAGACAACATACGTTCCGTCTAACCCACGGACTGCATCTTCGGCATCACGTGGATCTTCAAATTCGACAAAAGCGAAGCCGGGTGGGTTACGAGCGACCCAAACATTCCGAAGTGGGCCATATTTACTAAAAGCACTTTCAATTTCGTGTTTACTTGCTGACGACCCTAAGTTTCCGACGTAGACCTTGCAGGATAAATCCCATTCACGATAGCGAGACATCTTCCAAGCTTATTGATTAATTGACCTTCATTAATGTATATTTTAAGAACATTCGGAGAAAGTACATACCTGGTTTGAGATAAAAACACAACACTAAACGAATACAATGGTTTAGCTTTACCAAAAGGTAAAATATAAAATGCTTACAAATAAGTACAATTACAAAGAAATGTGGAAAATAAGATGGCGATTGTTACGTTCCCACTCTTGCAAGTTTGGTTTGGGCATTGGGTTTGGGTAGCGTCGCTTCGGTTAATAAACTTATGCAAACATGCGCGTTGAGCTTGAGGTCATCATGGGAAATAAGCGCGAAGTTTTTATTTGTCAACCATTTATAAATAATATTTAAATCAAAATTGAACATTTTCATCATTTTTCGAAAGCAGCCGAGCTTTTTCTACTATGAAAATGATGTATTTAAAATCTGGATTAAAAAACGGCATATCTCTTTTGTATAGTCTAAAGGCGGGACTTCACCAAACTGGGCTAGGCCCGTGCCGCCGGCTTTTTCCGAAGAAAAGTTAAGCCCATCACACAATGAAAAAAATAAGGAATAAGAAATAGAATAAATTGCTGATAAAGGTACAAGTGAATAAACACCTCGTACTTGTTTTATTTTAGGTTAACAAGGTAAAATAATGAATATTGAATACGCGCCTCTTCTAATGTCATTGGTTCGCAATATGAAATAAGGAATAAAAATTCGACTGAACCAAATTATTATTTCTTATTTGCTAGGCTTATTTCATATTTCAGTATTGTATGCAAATCCATAAAGGTCAATAGATTGAAATAGTTATTTACCTAACAAGTTCAGTAAGTTAATTTTTCCGCATGAGCACTTTGTTTGCAGCACGACCGTAGGGAGTGCTGCATTTAGTGCGAATGCGGGAAAATTCTTTCCGAAAGAGTTAGGTACAATATTTTTTGTAACGAATTGCGTAAAAAATGTCAAAATTAATAGTTTTGTAAATTAGTTTTTTTTAAATCATGAGTTGGTAACACAATAATATGTTTGGTTGGTAACATAGTTTTGTAACTACCCACTTTTCATCGCACTGGTCACATTTAAAACTTTCAGATCTTTGGTTAATACATATTTTGCCTTTGCAATGAGTGCTACTACTGGTCACGGAATTGCATCGTTTGCACTGCATATCCTTGGAAGTCTTCAGTGTTAACAAATATGCTTTGAAAAGAGTGCTTTTATTGATCGCGTAAGTGTACTGATCGTATTTAATATTCCTAGAAGACGTGTGAACAAATGTGATCTCAAATTTGATTTATCTTGAGTTGCGTAAATACACTCGTTACATTTATAATCCTTGGAAGCTTTGTGTGTGTTAATATGTGCTTTCTTAAGCTGCATATGCCAATAGTTGCGGAATATCACTGGTCACATTTTAAGACGTTTTAACAATAATTTACTTTTTCTTGAGTTCCACTTCTGAAAAATAATTTGATTGCGTTATAAGTTCTTGTTTATATATTTACGTAAAACTTAGTGTACCTACGTCTGTTTCCGATTAATCGCACTAAATACCCTCAACGAAGGGTTTAATTGATTTTACAGCAGATGACAGTTAACCATGACATGACGTTCGTTGACTTCAATAAGTACTACCAACCGAAGAACGCGCATAACCCCTTCTCTCCAGCGGAAACTAAAAAACCCCGCGATGCGGGAAAGTCGTTTTCCCGTGCATCGAGGATGCTTGGAAACATTATCTTTCCATTCAATGAGTACAAAAATTGTTATTCCGTATTTCTTATTCCTTATTTTTTTCATTGTGTGATGGGCTTTAGAAATAACATCCTTTCGAGGCCGCTAGCATCGGCCCGGCCGCCGGCATAATTTTGCTAGCGGGCAAATGTCGGTAAATGTGAAAGGATAAGGGCAGGCTCTGTCTGAACTAGAGCTCTAAAAAGTTAGGTATGCTCGACGGCCATTTTGGACTCAACCTATGGAGCGAGTAACGCTGTCAGCTGCTTATGTATTCAAATAAGTTCATACAAGTGTCGACTTGCTACCCAAGGAAAATGGCGCAAAAACAAAAATTAATACAGTTCTTTGCTTTTATATTTCAGCCCAATTTTTAAATTAAGTGTTTTTATTTTAATGAGTGAAAAGAGGTAAAAAGGTTTATATGAAAAACATTCAAAATTTACATACATTTAGAAATAGGTACAAAGTTCGGAACTAATTACAATTTACAATCTGGTTTCTTTTTCTGTCGAAGAACCATATACTCTCACTTTTCGCATTATAAATTACGAAATCTAGTATTTTAAAGGGCGAACCTTTTAAAATTAAATAGCTATTTGTGTATTAAGAGCGCAAAATGATATATTGTCGATTGAAAGAAACAGTTGACGCGCGACGAAGGAGCGCGGCAATCTCTTGAAATCGACAATCAATTTGCGCTCGAATTACACACAAGATTTTTTCTACAATCGAGCAGTTCACATATTTCCAGAAATTTAAATTTTTCACTCAAATCATTTTAATCTTATGTCCAAATGAAAGATGTCATTTACTCGTTGTCATTGGATACTCTGAGCAATGCATATTTGATTTATAGTTAATAATTGGGAGAGCGAGCGTTTTTGCTATTTTGTCGCTTATAAGCGACAAAGTGACATTCCTCGAAAAAGATGACGTTTGCATTGTCAAATACGAGCGCAAATGCCTACTTTGGATATCGATTGTAGAAAAAAATATTTAAATGTCAGTTGCCGCCAAGTTTATATTACCTACCTTTCTAAATCTTACTTTCTGTGGATAGGTACTGAACAAGATATATTCTATATATCTTGGTACTGAATATTATAAATTCCTTTAATTTAATTGAATGTACCTAGACTCGTTTCCTTGTATACAATGATTTCCTAGGTAAAGGAGTAATCCTTGGGGGAGGATTTGGCACATCGAATAATGTGGGCACTGCATTGGGTTTCAGTTTCTTCAATTTGTCCTTTCGGCAGGTCTCAAACTGATCCTCTTCAAAATTTACCTACGAAAGAAGAAAGAAACAAATAATAAACTAATCATAATTTAAAATTTGTGGTAATATTCTAAGATATCTACCTCACAAATACGTGAACCTGTAGTTGGTTGCCATTTATCGGGTCCTCGATCTCGTCTCATGTTTTGCACCCACTTCGACCGCCGAGGCTCATCTGCTGGGATTCGGTATAGACTGTACCGTTTCTCAGATCGGTTACTGCAATTTGGAGCTGCACAGCAGGGCATTTTTAAAATGCTTTCTTGATAATCTGCCATAATAATATACGTGATAATGTAGGTATATGATTTGAATTGATGAATTTGATAAACATGCATGTAAGAAGTTAACCTAATTTTACAAGAAATTTTTGAGTTGGCAAACTTTATCATCAGAAACACATTTAGGGGCAAAGGCAACACATTCCTTGAACAAAAAGAATAACGATCAAGATCAAGTAATGTAAATAGTTTACCTTATTAAATTAATGTAACAGAATTGAAGTAAATACTTATTAATTCGTCTTCCTACCGCACGTTGATATATAACTACACCAATTCGGCACTACACAAGCAATATTTATACTCCGAAAGAACGAAAATGGCAATACAACCATGAAAATTTATAAAAACAGAGCAACGTTTAGTAAACATTCACCAGCTGACAAGGCAACTCCCTCCATTGGCTGGGTCCAATATGGCGACCGAGCTTACTCACATTTAGAGAGCCTTATCTGAACAAGTGCAAACGTGTGTTTTCAGTCAGTTTTGCGTATTTGTGTCAAACGGTACGTTCACGTTGTTTACGTGGTATATTTGTCTTTTGTTTGCTTTTCTCTGAAATTTGAGTTTGTATTTTGTTTTTCACAACGAAGATTTTTGTTTAAACTAGGCCCGAGGCCGTACCTAAAACATGTGCTTCCTCTTATTTGTTGCTTGATAACAATTTTTAGGACCTTAACAAAAAAATTTCGTCGTAGTCAAACAATCTCGGATGAAGAATAAGTACTTTCTGCAAGCTGATACATCTGCCCAGTGTGGTGGAGTTGAATTTAAGTCCGCGTCAAATTCGCAGCAAGCCGCGGCATGTTGTGTTGGCGGCAAGGGCGGAGAAGCCGCCGGCTTAGCCCAGTTGGGTGGAGACCCGCCTTAAGGTATATACCCAGTGTGTTCTTTATTCATTGGTTCCTTCATCTTGCACATTTTGCACTTGTTAAACCACATACAGAGTATGTATAAGTGTACCTATGTAAAGTCATGAGGTTGGAAATTTCCTTAAAGGCAATAGTAAAGGATTCGTCCCATGCTGCCCGCACAGAACGCTTGCCTTTACTGCAAAAAAATGATACTTTTACTACCGCGTTACCGCCTTTAATGTGATTTTCAACCCCCAAGCTGAAATTAATCCTACAGTATACGCGAACGCGGAAAAATTCACAGTAAAACTGTATGGTGTCCGCACAGAATCAGAGCAAAGATAATTTTTCACGAAAACAAGAAATCTTCAGAAGATAAGCGATCTTGCTTCAATTCCCCCAACTCGTGCTGCATTGGACACAAAGAGAACGGCGTATGTCGCTGATGGTCACACTGGGACTGTGCAAACCAGATAAAGGGAAACTCCACAAGTCCTGAAGGATGGAGATTGACGCTTGAAGTCAGACACTGGATGATTCTGTGGTCCAAGCTGCCACAGGTATGAAAAGCAGTCGGTGCTCTGGACAGGTGTGGCTGCGAGACCCTTCGGTCCAGTTGCCGGAGACATAGACTGTCATGTTCCCCTGCGGCCCTGCATGCCAAAAATGTATTAGGGATCCCACAAAGGGTAAGGGTATTGTATACTTTCGACATACCTATATAATTTACTACACCGAACCTTTAATACCTATTCATATGTGAAATATCTCTTCAGTGGGGATAACGATAACGCAATCACAGAGGACGTCAGTGAGTACTTGGCGATCTTTCATTTTGTATAATTACACTACATGTAATTTGAATTGTTTTTGATTTGTTAGTGTGTTTTTTTATTAAATAAAATAGGTAGTAGGTAGTTTATATATTAAAACTGTGGAATATCTTGGTGGGAGCCTCTCATGCACTCTTGATGCCTGTAGGTTATTTTTGTTACCATAAATGAATTCCATGATACCAAAAACATAGACTAGATACCTTTACACGCCTCGGCGTGCCTATGCCTCAGCCACACTATGCTCCTCGCACTGCCCATCGCCCTGCTCTACGTGCTGCCGCGATGTTTCGCTCTTTGTCCACACACTCCTTTACTCGTGCAATTAATCGCCTCACTCCGCATTTGGCATTTGCCTTTGCAACCTTAGATCATATGATCTAAGTTTGCAACACGTTACACGATGGATGTCGAAACTGTTGGCTATGCATTTTTGGTATAGCTAATTACATCAATTTCCTGAAAAGAGATACGTCCTCGTCGTCTTCACTAACGCAGATGTTGGATGACATCTATTCGTCATTAAAAAAAATAAGGATGATGCTTTCTGCCAGCGCTTCGCGCGATTATGTCATATGTGGCCAGTCCCTCGCGCTCGTATTGCCGACGATCCTTTGACTCGCGCCCAAAAAACCGACAAAACATGGAGCGGTTGGCAGAACGAGGAGCATGACGAGCGGCATTGCGAGTGATGTGGCCACACTACGTCTCTGCCTCCTCGTCACGCTACTTCCCATGCTACTCGACGAGTGTGTGGCTGGGGTTGACGCGACGCGTCAATCGCGCGAATGCAACGCGCACGCGACTTAACGCGGTTCACTCGCGCACCAGCTGGGAGCCATGTGGAGAGACGCACCCTCCACAAGTTAAATCAGTTGTTAGTGTTACATACATGTCGAACGAGGAGAAAGCTGGAGCATGTTTAATAGGCGGTGGTGCGATGCTTCTTGCATCCCATTTGTTACCAAGAAAACAAAAACGTAGATGGTGGCTGTAGTACCTATATCTATTAAATATCAAAAGTTGGCAAACCGGGATCTGCTGCTTAGTTACTTGTTTATATAAAAAAAATTAGAATTGTCTGTCACGTTATATTAAAGTTCATAGTCCGGGAGCTAGCTGCCATTTTTCATGACCAATAATAAGAAAGCTGAAATTTTGTAGTATGGTTCATTTAGTATTGCTAATAAGCGTAGTAATCGTCAGCTGGCCCAGTAGCGGTGGGTGTAGTCGCGGCAGTCATCCGAAGATGTATAATTATGATGAACAAAAACCAATATTAAGAAAGCTGAGATTTGGTTTGTAGGTTGATTACTATCTAAATAAACGGAAAAAAGTAGTCAGCTGACTGTTTGGTGGTGGGTTGTACATCAGCTTCACGTCTTAACATGCGAAAAATGTTTAGGTATTTTATTTTATTTTCTAAATTTGCCTTTTCCTCTAAAGGTAAGCATCAGAGTGAAAAATGTTAATTACAAAAAATATGTGTCTTGATGAGATCTACAAAAAAACTCTCCTAAACGTTTTGCGTCGGGTTCAAAATAAAGGCGCTAGAGGGCATTTTCTAAATGTTATACTGGTATTTATATATCTATGGTTATACTATGAGTTATGACGCGTGTATAATGAATGCTATGACCAAAGATAATTGCAATGACTCTCTTAAAAGTAGACGGAAAGTCAAGTCAGGAGTTTACCTGCCAACTAGTTTTCAAGGTAATTTGTTAATTTCTCTTCAGGAAAAAAAGAAGAAAATAAACAAAATTATGTCGTTCCGCACCAGAGACTTGTTATAACACTTGTTCCGCACTAAATGTTGAAGGCAAATTGTTGCAAGGCAGCGCAACATCATTTTTTTGATTCGCAAAGTTCGAAAAAAACCGATGCTACTCCCCTACTTTTTGAACTTTGAGTGTCTTGCACAGCGGCTGCTCCGAATTTGCTACTGACGCGGGACACCAAGCCATTGTGTCCGTTATGCTTGAGAAGAGTATACGTATATCGTATAATCACGACAATGTTTAAGGCATAAGTACCTCCGTGGTTTAAGGCTTAACGTTAGACTTGAAACGTGTCGGATGCAACATTTTGCTTCGCAACATCTTGCAACGTTGCGAGCGACGCGTTCCTAAATTGAAATGTAACTAACGAGTACCGGCCGCAACACGGACTTGAAACTTTGCGAATCAAAAAAATGATGTTGGGCTGCCTTGCAACAATTTGCCTTCAACATTTAGTGCGGAACGACATAATTTTGTTTATTTTCTTCTTTTTTTCCTGAAGAGAAATTAACAAATTACCTTGAAAACTAGTTGGCAGGTAAACTCCTGACTTGACTTTCCGTCTACTTTTAAGAGAGTCATTGCAATTATCTTTGGTCATAGCATTCATTATACACGCGTCATAACTCATAGTATAACCATAGATATATAAATACCAGTATAACATTTAGAAAATGCCCTCTAGCGCCTTTATTTTGAACCCGACGCAAAACGTTTAGGAGAGTTTTTTGTAGATTTCATCAAGACACATATTTTTTGTAATTAACATTTTTCACTCTGATGCTTACCTTTAGAGAAAAATGCAAATTTAGAAAATAAAATAAAATACCTAAACATTTTTCGCATGTTAACACGTGAAGCTGATGTACAACCCACCACCAAACAGTCAGCTGACTACTTTTTTCCGTTTATGTAGATAGTAATCAACCTACAAACCAAATCTCAGCTTTCTTAATATTGGTTTTTGTTCATCATAATTATACATCTTCGGATGACTGCCGCGACTACACCCACCGCTACTGGGCCAGCTGACGTTCACTACGTTTATTAGCAATGTTCTACAAAATTTCAGGTTTCTTATTATTGGTCATGAAAAATGGCAGCCGGGTCTCGGACTATCACATGTACAATTTGTTCACAATATACTTTTTAAAAGCAATTGGAATCGCTTATTTAATACACAACAATTGGCGACGAGTAAACAGAGGAATGCAAACCACATAAAAAGAAAAATCGTTAAAAATGGATGAAGCACAGTTTCAACAATTTATGAAATTGTTTAACGAAACCCAGACAAGATTAATCGATTCGTATAAAGTACATCAGGCAACACAAAACATAGCGCAACAACCCATGGGAACAATAGTCCCTTCTGAAAGTTTTGACCCATCAAAAGAAAAATTCAACTGTTATATTGAACGTTTCGAAAATTATACAGCCGTAAAAAAATCTGCAAAACGAGCAGAAAAAAGCTCAACTTCTATGTGCTTCGATCGGGCTTAATCATTATAATAGTTTAGCGGCATTCATGGGACCCGATAACCCTATAAAAGAGATTGGATATGAAGATCTAATGAAGAAATTTAGGGAGATGTTGGCGCCGCAAAGGAAACCTGTAGTGAGCCAACATTATTTTCTCGGCATAGCCCAAAAAGAACATCAATCTATAGCACAATTTGTAGCCACCCTGCGTCAATCTCTCTCTGAATGTGAATTTTACACTACATGTGAGTGTGCAAAGAAAATCTCCATGTGGCGGTGTGAAATGTATAGAAAACGGGTTTGGATTTATATACCTCGATCAGCTGCAGTTAAATGGATAGCGGCGAGCCTCGGATAGGCCGCGCTATAGCCGCTCGCGCTCCCCGACCACACTTAGCAATTTTGGAGCGTCGTGTGTGTGTCGCGTGCGCGTCGCGTCAGGTCTGTGCGCACGCGGCTTTACGACACCCTAATCGTAACTTGTCAATTAATGTGGCCCGGTTCCTAAAAAAAAATTCAAGATGAAATACAATTTATGGGACTGTTGGTGATATAATTTTCAAATAAAACAGTTTGGTCTCCCGCTTATTTAGTCAAAATGATTGGTTTGACTTTATTTCCACCCCACACACTTTTTACTGTAATCCGTTCCCCCTTTTATTTGCCCACCCGGTATAGTGAAAAATGTCATCTTAAACTGTCAAGGTTAAGTTTTATTTAACATTGATTAACCTCAAATTGTTTGTGCAATTTCGTAGTTTTGTTTTTTTATAACATTTTCGTAATTTGGATTGAACAAAAAGAAATATCAACAGCAAATGAGTTGTGGCTGGTGAATTTTCCTAATTAAAAAATGGCAGTAATAGGATCGGCGACAGATACACTTAACACCGCTCTTAAATCTAACATTGTACCCGATCAAGAATATTTACTTCAAGGTTCGGTGTTAGACCAGTATGTTGAGGTCTTACTTCATAGACTGAGGGGATTATGTGATAACGTAGATAGTGGACCGGAATCTTTTCACGATCATGAGTTATGCTTTACACTGCGTGCAACCTCAGGTCCGGGATCTGCAATGGTATTACCGTTAAGAGTTCGAAGAGCTTTGGATGTACCAGAGGCTCCGTGGCAGCTACGTTACGTAGGGCAACACGAACTGGGAGATAAAAACAGGCCTACAGTTGTTCGATCAAGTATCGATATGGCATGCAGTTCTACAATTGTAGAATTTCTTACCGAATTGGGTTGCAGAATGGATTTTGAATACATATCTAGGGGCTATATGTTTAGGAAGGGACGTATGAAAATAACCGTGTCGAAAGTATTTAAAATGGGTGGTTTGACTAATAAACCAGGTGAAAGTGTTGAACCTATTTCACAGAGTTATTTAGTTGAGTTATCAGTTCTAGCTCCGTCGGGTCAAGATGCAATTGCAGAAGACATGCGGGTGTTTGCAGAACAATTAAAGCCTTTAGTCCACTTGGAAAAGATCGATTATAAACGACTGGCTCATTTACAATAAATTTATAACTTTTTTCTTTAATTTATTATATTTGCTAGTTGCTACTGTATACTCTAATTTCTTACATAATCTCTTTCAATCTAATACTAAATGATCAGGTTCGCTTTTAGTCATTTCTTTGATGTTAACGTCCGAATATGTTGGATACATTTGGGCATTTTTAACATGTATAAAGAGCGAAAAGAGTACATGTAATGATTCAATCTTATTCTTATAAATTGGTATATCAAAAATTGCGCAAAGTATGTTAATGTATTCAGATAAGCTGCCACCAAATTTGGGATTAGGTATACTGTACTGTTTTAATGACGTTTCAAATTGTTCAGGCCATTCTTGAAGCAGGTCATCTACATCCGGCATTGGTCTGCAATTTACTCAATGATAGCTTATAAGAGATTATTTTAATGGGTTTACTCACTCCGAGTATTTCACAATTGTTGTAGATTTATTTCGATGCAATTCAGATACATCTTTTATCCATTTATCTATGATTTTTGAGTTTTTCTCAACATCGTCAATTTTCTTTACAACCTGTAATTGAACCACATAAGCTATATGGTGAGTGCACAGCTTCTTTTACCATCGACTCATTAGTGTGACTGACTGTGATAGAAGCGGCTCGTAGTTTTAAATACAGTAGAGCAGGATCACTTTGATTGGCTACAGGTTCGTCAAGTACGGTAAGTCCCAAGTGTGATTCAACAGCTTTAAAATCGTTGCCTGATAAAGTTTTTTGTGGAGGTACTATCTTCAAGAAAGCATCTATGTCACCAACAGCAGGTATAAATTCAGGAACAAATGGTTTAAATTTGTAATCCAAGGCAAGCTGTTGTGGGACGTACCTGTAAATGTGCCAATTGAATTGGTGTAAAATACATAAATCGTAACTTTACTTGGTAATATACTGAAACACTTCTTTTATATCATTTGAGACCTCCAAGTCATCATACGATCCAGGGTTATATTCACCAGGAATTGCAACTCGTTTCTTTTTAGTATTTCCAAGCTCATCGCTTTCATCTGAATCGCTGTAGCTTCCTTTCATACCAAGCTGTGTTTCTTGAAGATTTGGAGATTCAGATCTTGGTAATGACTGCTGACTACTCGATGGTCCGGCACTCTCAACTTGTGCAGATTGTGGCTGAAATATAAAGTACTTAACATTCAGTTGATATCATAATTTATGCCACCTACTTCTATTGAGATGAACCGATCGGTGTCTACCCGATCATCATCCGAGTGATCTGTTAGTGCTTGAGAAGGTCGACGTGAAAAAGGGAAGTGTTTGCTTGCAGGGTGATTCAACATAGAATGAGGCTTATCACTATAATTTGTTTCCATATTGTCTTCCGAGTCTACACTTTCGAGCTAAATGTACAGATAATTGAGTATATAGGTACCCCTCTGTAGTGGCCAACCTCTTACGTCTGATAAATTCAGAGGATTATTTTCGTCCTCCGATTTCTCCTGCATAATTGATAATAATTATCGATTAAGTTTAAATTATTGCAAATGTATAAAGCAGCAATTTGAAATGTGTGCGACTTGTCTATCTTATGTTGCTTAGCAACGAAAACTGGAAGCATTCCACAAAATACTAGTCGCATACCAACTTCTAGATTTTATGACAGTGGCGACAACTTATCATAATCTGCCAAATTGGGGATAAAAAACTAATAAGTAGCGGCCTGATCGTTAATAATAACAAAGGAAATTGCTAGATCATTTAATACAGACACAAACGTTAGAAAATAGGTAGCCAAAAACATAAGTATGATAGCTCGTGTCTGACCTTCACCAGAGAGTCGGTGACGGAAACGCCTAATAGGTCGTTGATTAGGAGTGCAACGTAACGCTGGTTGCCAATACATCACAAAAACATAATACCATTAGGCGCTTCACGTTCTTTCGAAGTGTGACCTTATGATCATGATTGCTAAACTCGTGAACAAACTGAACATAAAAGTTTTATGATCACGAATTCCTTACCTATAAATGCAAAGGTATTTTTGCTCAAATGTAAGGTTAGTCAATATTTGTAACTGAAGAAGAGCATAATCGTGCAAGTACTTCCACTTGTATTTAAATTATTTTCATAATCTAAACAAAAAATACGTAATTCAAATGCAAATGTGTAAACTTAACCATACTTTGATTTAAATTCGAAACGACCGTTGGCCTACTTGTAATTACCTATACTACCTTGTCGTGGCCCCAGAACAGTTTGTTGTTCTATGGTCATGCTATATCGTTTAAAACTGTGCAAAAGAAGGAAAGAAGCATTGAATTGAATTTATAACTATCAGAAGCGCAGGTTAAATGGCAGGATATGTGACTGTTTTCAATAGTTTAAATTACAAGACGTAGATGTCTCTACCATCGAGAAAGATGAATAATAATGTCAGTTTTTTACCTTTGTTAATTATTATACAGGAATCTGTAATGAACCCACTATCTCGATTTGTAATTGTTGTATACAGAATTCTAGATACCCAAGAAACGTACTTATAAGGCATTTATGTGGCACACAGGATGTTGAATGACGTAAGATAAACATTCTTCCTTTCATGAATCGTGACCTTACTTAACATTCCTTAAGGAAGATTGAATTACATTTGAACAGGAAAGCAAAAAATACGCAGGCATCCTTGATCACTGTAACAGAAATTAAATGTACCTACCTATCTATTCTTAATTTTTGTGTGTGTCGGTTAAACCGTTGCCACCGGTTAAACTACCTAGGACAGGGGTCGGCAACCTATTGAAACGGAAGAGCTAAAAATTACAATTTACAAAATTTCCCAATTCTTAAAGAGCCACAAATAATTTTTGATTCAATATTATAGTTTTTGGCTATATACAGGGTCCTGCAACAGTCCGTCGGTTTTTCCTACATAGCTGATAGATACCTGGTAAAAATATTGGTGGTTGCGGATCTACAGAAATTATTTTTGAATGTACAGGGTGTTCCATTTTTACGATGTCAATTAATAACTGATCTTTTTAAATAGAACATCCTGAATATTTGGTTGTTTCAATGCCGTTTGTTCAAAGTGCTATAACTATTCTTTTTCAAATGGAACTACCACTATTTTATTTCGCTATTCGCTTTTGTCTTCTCTTAAATGTTTATAAGGGGTGCCCTGTGCTTAAACTCCGCAGTGTTTAGGTTATTCAATATTTTTCACAAAAGTACCTACTCATTAATTAATTACGTGTTTATACATCGGAGTAGGCTGGCTATAATAAAAAAAACAAAAGAATACCAGAAAGTAAACAAGTGTCAAAAATTAGATAATTATTTGCTGCAAGTATACTTTTGATACAAAATAAGATTAATTAAAAAGGCGAATTTCGAACAAATGAACTAATTTCTTTAGATAAATACGGAGAGCCGCAACTTTATAGGTATCAAAAGAGCCGCAGGTTGCCGACCCCTGATCTAGGATCACACGTCACACCGGGCAATTTTGATACAAAATAAAAAGGTCGTTAACCTCTTTTCTTTTAAATTCTGACGTTTGAAATTTGTTCTCAATGGTTAATCGATAACTTATCGATAATTATCGATTAATAGATAGTCAATCGATAAATTTAAAAAAAATGGTCGACCGGTCAACAAAAAAAGAATTTTTTGCGCATGGGATTTACACAATATATATTCTGACTATAATAAGCAAAAATAAATAAAAAGTGCGATTAAGACATCGAAAATATTTGCTTTTACAAAAGTTACAGCGATTTGATTGAAAGCTTTCAGGGGCGAAAATTAAAGCTGGAATCTTTGTTTTCCCTAAAAAAAAAAAGAAAAATGGAGGGTGATATTTTTCCGCGGTTACTTAGCAAAGAGGAAAAAAAATCCTGGAACAGTTTTAAGGCAATAGTCCATGGTTTCCCGTTCAGTGTTTCCTGGGAAACCATAGAGCTGAAAATTATGACGAGCTGACAGGATTTGGTTTTGTATCATGGGGTATAGAATGTCTCTAAAGAATAAAGATGCACAGGTTACATTCTCATTTAGATCAATTTAAGGATAATATGGGAGCTTATTCGGAATAAGGACAACACTTTCTCGAGACAATGGAACTTAGGCACCTTCCCAAGGCCAGGAAGTTGGAAGCATGATGGAAGATCAGATTCAGTTGAACATGACAAAAACAGCAAAACTGTTCCATTTTTAAACATTTAGACTCTAAGATAAACAAATTATAAATGTAGAAACGCTACCATTTAATAAATCATGCCTATGTAAGTAGGATTCTATAGGTATTCTTATTTTTTGGTTTTTTGCATTTTTTTCACACAAAAACAAATACATAACCATTTTTTGTTCTAATTCTTATTTGTGGCTATAGAAGCAATAAAAATAAGGTATGTATGTCCCATGCGCAAAAATGCTGTAGACCGGTGTAATTTATCGAAAATGTTAAAGGATTGGTCGATAAACCTATAATTTCCGATAATCTATCGATTAATCTCACAACTAAACTATTAAGATAGATAATTATCGAGAGAATTTTTATACGACATAAACTTTTCAATGTTTAGGTATACCAGTTTACTTCCAACAAAAGCGATGTAAGAGCATTGTTGAGTTGCCATATGATCACAATTCACAACCTACTGCTGTACTCATTTTTGAGGATTATCGTCCACTTGATCACAGTGACGGATTAAGGGTCTATGAGGACTGGGGCGGTTTTCAGAGTGGGGCCCCACCTGCCCTACTTTTCTAACCCATGAATCACAACAAACGAATAGAAAAATGCTATGAATGTGAATAAGGTTTTATTGATACATAACAAATGACGAAATCTTAAAATTTATGTTTCCGCGCTTTTATTCTGCTGAATACCGACCCGACGCCGTCGCCCACCGCCGCTCGCCTCCCCACCGGCCACCCCAGCCAATACTAGGTCTTTTTTTTCTCTCTTTGCAGTTGCAACGCATCGGGGGCCTACTCTAGTGACGGGGCTCGGGGCGGACCGCCCCTGCCGCCCCCCCCCTTAGTCCGCCACTGCTTGATCACCTTTGATTTCAGACAACTTGAGCATCAAAAGATCCTGTTTTATTTAAATTATCTCTCGCAATATCAATACCAAAAAAACAAAAATGTTAGCGAGTGTACGCATGGATGATGTAATATATCGATTGAGAATATATATCGATGAGATTTATGAAAAAGTATCGATAGTTTTCTCTTGATAATTTCCGCTACTTATTTATTAATCGATAAATATCAGAGATAGACAATTTTCGTGGCAATAATAATCGATTATTATCAGCAGCTAACAATCATTATTAATTATTTTCAAAAGTTATCGATAATTATAAAAAGTTATCGATAATTATAAAAAGTTATCGATAATTATCAAACGTTATCGATCATTATCGAAAATTAGCCTTACGATTTATCGATAATTGTCGATTATTATCGAAAGTTAACGATAAGTGATTAAAGTTATCGATAATTATCGATAGTTATCAATTATCGGTAGTTATTAATGATTAATCGATAATTATCAGACTGAACAGACTTATCGATAAATCGATAACAATTTCATTTATCGCTCAGCTCTAGTAGGTATAGGAATTCACGTAAACTGGGACCGATTTATTTGTGCACAATGCTGCATGGTTATAAAAAAAGCTGATTCGCGAAATTTAGTTATCAAATGTGAATGTGGAAATGATGTAGCTGCCTGCTTGCAACGGACAATATTTTGCCTTAAAATTTTTTTTGATCGTTTTTTAATAACAAAATCTCCCGCTTTCAGTAAAAATGTGGAACCTGCCTATTTTACTGCCTGTGAATAGAATGTATGAAATTGCATTCCTTCAAGGACAAGGACTGCAAGCTTCGTTCGTCTAAATGTATTATTATTTACATTACAAATTTACGCAATGCTTTTTAAGGGATCTATTTTTAGAACATTCCAATCCTATTTATAAAACCATTCCAATGATAACACAAAAAACATCCGGAGTTCCTGACATCTGACGATTAAAAAGGAAAATATTCGAAAGGTCAAAATAAATGGTTTGTAATGCTGCCATCTAATGTCAATGTAACGCTCCACTTTCGATCGCCCACGGACTTTCAAACGCTCGAACTGCTCCTAGCGGCGGCCAGTTGGCACATGGTCACAAACTGTTATATGGGATCCGCGCTTCTGATAGTTATAAATTCAATGCTTATACCAATAAGAAGGTATCTACAATTCGGTAAATTCGCCTTTTTATGCTGATGAAAGCAATGTTGCCAGTGTGCGATATTGCTAATGTGCTTTAAAATCAACTAAAAACGACCTCAAAAGCTGTTGATGTTATGGATACAATATCCGACTTGATTGAAAAACAATATTTTATGGGCCATAACAACTTTTTTAGCACCGTCAGAAAGTTGAGAAAAATGTACCAAGCTTTTGTTAAAATTATTTTTTGATATCTTTTGAAAATAAATGGACGCCAACGTATTCTCGAAAATGACATTTTTCGTTTTTTTGGCCATAACTTCGCTATTTGTAAACCTACAAGGCTTTTTGGAAGGGAAAATTA